CCACAGCTTCCTGTAATCAGAGGGAGGCAGCTGAAGGGACAGCTTGGGGTTCAGAAGCATTAAGTGGGTTGGGCCCCAAAGGACAGGGATGGGAAAATGGCACATAGACAGAAGGATCTGAGCCCAAGGGAGGGTGGCCCAGCCCACCCAAGAGTTTCCGCTGCCCCTTACAACTTACTCATCATGGTTAATCTGCCACTGGTTCACAAAGACACAGCGCCCCTTGGGGATGTAAAAGCCACTCAGACTTGTGTCTCTTATGGTGCTGGGGAAGGAGAAAGCAGAGTCAGCCTCAGGGTAACAGAGGAATCCCCCATGTTCCATGCCATGACCCTCTGGTCTCTCGTCGGTCTGTGGACTACAGCAAGGCCCAGTGTCAGATAGTAGGGACCCGGGCAGCCTTACCTGTGCGGGATGGTGAAGGGCAAGAAGGAGGAGTGTCGGAAGACCTCCATGATGAAGGCTTCCAGGTAGGGCAACTGGCTTCTGTCAGTGAGCCGGGGCCGCCGCTCCCTGCCAATCACTGTGTCTGCAGAACACAAGATCCAGATGGACTAAGGGGCTGCTCAGGCCTTGGTAGACCCCTTCCTGGACCCCTATGGAAGGAGCCACCACCTACCCAGCTCCTCCTGGATCTTTCTCTGTACCCTTGGGTTCGTCACCAGGTACAGGAGGCTCCAGGAGATGGCAGTTGTGACTGTGTCAAAACCTGGACAGCGTAGAACATAGGGAGAAGTTAGGCAGGTGACAGATCAGGACACTCGGGCACAGAAAGGGAACAATGGGCTGGTCCTACCAGCTCCAAAGAGGTCAAGGACAATGCTAATGATCTTGTGGTCTGAAAGCTGAATATTGGCATTCTCATCCAGCTTCCTGTCCTCACAGTGCTCTATCAGGCTGTCTGTAATATCCCGGATGTGACCCTGAGTATGAAAGACACACAGATGAGCAGATCCCAAGCCCAGGCCCACCTCCAACCCCCTTCCAGCCTGGTCCCTCACTGTCCCTCCCACTTTTGTTCAAAAGGTTAACACCAATCGCAGCTGCTGTCCCAGCTCACAGCCTCCCCAGGCTCTGTGCTACCTTAGAATACTAGGGACGCCCGCCACACGGAGTTTCATGCTATTATCTGAATGTGCTCTTTAACCT